ACACATTATCCAGTCTCTTAGATTATCTTAATACACACAACATTATCCAGTCACTTACAAGTATATGAAATAAAATGAAATGGGGGTTTAAATGCAATAAAATGAAATGGGGTTTGAAATGCAATAAAATGAAATGGGGTTTAAGTTTAAGTCCTACTGTTCTGCTTTGACTCTAGGTCAATGAAGACAGGCATACGCCATGCAATGTGCTATGAGGGAATTTTGACTGGGCAGCGACACTGTGGCCTACTCTTTATTTCGAATTCCAACTACCAAGGGATCTTTTACATGCACGCTAATTTATACATTAGTCCTCAGTTTTCGTACCATTCGAATGACTAGACAGCTCGGGAAACCACCCAGGAAAATCAGAATAAACTTTCTTGGCCAATGTAGGGACCGAACACACGACCTCCAGACTAGCGAGCCAGCATCTTACCCACTTAGCCACCGTGGCTCCCCAAAATGGGATTTAATGGACTACTATTCTATTCTGCTCCAACTGGGCTAATGAAGACAGCAGTTTCAAGTACATGTATAACTAATAATCCATGACAGATTCAAATGAAATTGAATTTAATTATTTTTAGACAAATTTTATTTCTTTGGTTGTGCATTTAATGTTGTAGATAGGAGAATTTTGCCCTGACAGTGGCATCCACATAAGGTTAGCAGTATAACCCATGATTGATAGAGTCAAATGAAATTGAGTGGAGTTTTAATGTGGACAAAAATGATAATTTTAATTCTTTTGTTATACCTGTAATGCTAGGTAGGAAAATTGATTCAGCGTTCTGCATGTCAATACGGGAATCAAGGTGAATCGTGATTCAACGATATACCACTAGTCCACACCAGGATTCCAGTTCCCTGACCAATCAACCCTCAAACCTCCCTGCTCTCACCTCTCTAATTTCTGATTGAAGAAATACCCCTATCATTGACCTATTTGTAGAGTATGTACATGTACATGTGGGTAAATGCTGTTCCCTTGGTTACATTCTCTTGCCTATCCTCACAAGGTGGTTCCTGCTCAGCTGACAAGAAAATAGTGCCTTTGTTTGGTCTTACGTAACGGAAAACCCAGGTCTAACCAGGTAGACAACAGCGTGTGCATAGATAGAGAAATGGGGTTCAACGTCCACTCGACACAAACTAGGTCATTTCTGGACTAACACATGTTGCAATTTTATTTCAATAATTCACTAGCGTGTAGGGGTCTTTACCCGTGGGAGGAAACCGGAAGACCCGGAGAAAATCTTTGAGGTTGGACAGGCGATCCTACTCCTTGTCACGTACAACCCGGGATTCGAAACCATGCCAGTTGACTCAATGACAGACCGTATGATACAGCACGCACGTGCTAACCATGGACACGTCATCACTTGTAATGTATCTGAATTTAGTCTGAATTAAGCCCAACTCTTGTTGAGTAAGGAACATGATGTTAGACGTCACACTGATCCGCAGTGAATATTCACTAGGTCGCGACAATCACTGATAAGGAAGACATCGATGAGACTTAATGAGCCACAAATATTAACTTTTTTCCTCCGATAGATTAATTTCTATAACATTTTTTTTATGTATTAGAAAAATAAATAAAGACATTTGAAGTATTTGTAGGTAAAAATTATTTCCTATTTTAGTGTAAATAGGTATTAAAATGAGTAAAAGGCGCCATTCTGCTCGAATCAATAATGTTTTCTGTAAACAATGCACACGCCATTGAGCCAATGATTGACGCCGCGTGATATGACGTCATGTGTTGAAGGCAGTCATCTTTTACAGAGATATTAGAAAACTTTCATAATACTCTGAAACAGATTGGTTAGACGTAATACTAATTGTTGCCAATTCAGCCATTTAATAAAATAAATTTTTACACCACCAGCTTGAGTAGTTTTTGTACAGACCAGGGGGGTGTTGTCGGAGACTGAAAACACAAAAATATCGATGAACTAACCTAAAATCTAAAATCATAACCCCAATTAACAAACAATACGAATATACAGCGGTGAACTAATTTCAGTCGTGATCGGTAATCAACGTTATTCCATACATTATTGTTTATTTAACAATAAGTAGGTGTTTAACAGTTTATTTAACAATGAGTACAACTCAGTTAATTGACTGCTATTATAATAACATGGGGGATGAAACAGCCGTGGATGAAACGGTCGTGGGGATGAACTGACCAGCACCTGTAATATCATGTATATATCTAGAAGATAATTTGGGATACATGTATGTAATACTATATTTAGCTGTACATGTATTGTTGTAGGTCAATCTATTACACATGGATCCTTGATGTCAAAGGTCAATCTTGGATATATTAGGTCAAAGGTCAATCTAGTACAGCTGGATCCGTGTTATAACATTATACTGCTATCTTATTAGTTGTTATTATTATCTACTATTGATGTCATCATATCTTGTTATTATAAATACCGGTATGTAAAAATACTATACTAAACTTCGGCTGTCTGTCTACAGTTATCTCCACTTGAGAACAGACACTAAGCTAGTTGTCCGACATTTTAAGTCCTAAATCAACGATCTCAGTCGAAAACACGAAGTATATTTCGAGAATTGTGAGAAGTATTTATTCTGCTTCCAAATCGTGTAACAAAATTGAACAGGGTTATTTAGTCCTTGTGTGTGTGACTGATGTGAACGGGAGTAGGACGGCATTAGAAAACAGTATACTACTTGTTGGATATGTCGGCTATTTAGGGCAGAGATCTATTCTCGAAGTATGAAGTAGATGAAAATGTGTGTGCAAGATGTAGTAGATGATAATAACTATTAACTAACATGTTAGCACCTAATTCATGCCGGGGGGGTTGGGTGGCCGAATGGTTAGCACGTGCGTGCTGTATCATACGGTCTGTCATTGAGTCAACTGGCGTGGTTTCGAATCCCCGGTTGTACGTGACAAGGAGTAGGGTCGCCTGTCCAACCTCGTGGGTTTTCTCTGGGTCCTCCGGTTTCCTCCCACTGCTAAAGACACCTACTTGCAAGCGAATTAATGAAATAAAATTGAACCATATGTTAGTCCCGAAATGATCTAGTTTGTGTCGAGTGGACGTTAAACCCCATTTCTCTCTCTCTCTCTCTCTCTCTCTCTCTCTCTCTCTCCCCTAATTCATGTCTGTTTAATCTCTGTAACCATCAATAATCCACAACCTTGCACGCAATATTTTTTTTTTTATTCGTTTAGAAATGGAGTTTAATGTCCACTCAAGACACAAACTAGGCCATTTCAGGACTAAAATACGGTTCAATTTTATTTCAATAATTCGCTTGCGTGTAGGGGTCTTTAGCAGTGGGAGGATACTGGAGGACCTGGAGAAAACCCACGAGATTGAAGAGACAACCCTTCTTCTTGTTACGTACAACCGGGGATTCACACATTATGGTAATGTTAAAGGTCATAACACACCTAGGGGATCACGTGGCTAAGTGGGTTAGACGCTGGCTCGCTAGCCTGGAGGTCGGGTGCTCGATCCCTGCATTGGCCGAGAAAGTTCATCCCGATTTTCCTGCGTGGTTTCCCCTTGTCAGTGATGCAGGACGGGGGGCCTAACAAGAACAGCTGTCTAGTCCTTCGGATGAGACGAAAAACCGAGGTCCCGTGTATACATTGGAATGCACGTAAAAGATCCCTTGGCAGTTGGAATTCGATATAAGAGTAGGCGATAGTGCTGCTGCCCGGGCAAATTTCCCTCATAGCACACTGTATGGCGTATGTCTGTCTTCATTAGCCCAGGTTAGGAGCAGAACAGTAGGACGTTAAACCCCATTTCATTTCATTTCTTTTCATAACACACCCAGAATTTTACACAACAATAGGTTCCATTCTTTGCTTACATATAAGAGAACGCTTAAATATACATTATGCAAGCGGTATATCTGCCTATTATAGGTCTTTCTTTAGGCCTGAAATGTTATCTAAATTAATAATTAGATATTAATTAACTTATCCAGACCATAATCAACTCTAGATGCCTACGATATTTAGTGGATTTGAATGCATTTTGTGGTGGATAATTTAACATAAAAACGAATAATTTAACTTAAAAACGGATAATTGAGACATTGTTTATTATCATACCAAAGTTATTATCGAGGCTAGCCTAAAATTGAATCACTAATATCTCAGTACAGAGTGAAGAAACTTGACTGTTTAACTAATATAGCGAGAACTGGCCGTCAGCTCTTTACCTAATCTCCCATAATGCCCCTTTAACAAGTTGAATTTGAACGAAGAGTGGAGGGGGAAAAATTTTGCTTCACTCATTCGTTGCAAACTACATGCCCAGGGCCCTTATTCACGAAAACTTAAACTAAGATACAATCGAAATTTTAAGAAATACAGCAATTCGATTGGCTGACCAATATGCAAATTGGATATATGCAAATTGATTTCTTGTTCAGCCAATCGAATTGCAGTATTTCTTAAAATTTCGATTGTATCTTAGTTTAAGTTTTCCGTGAATAAGGGCCCAGGATGTTAAACCCCATTTCATGTCTAAAAGTTATAAGTTTTTTGTTTATATTTACATGCTCCAACTGATACTGACATGTAACTTGGGGCCACGGTGGCTAAGTGAAAAAGACGTTGGCTCGTTAGCCTGGAGGTCGGGTGTTCGATCCCTGCATCGACCTAGAAAGTTCATCCAGATTTTACAGCGTGGTTCCTCCTGGGCAGTGATGCAGGACGGGAGGGCCTGACAAGGACAATTCTCTAGTCATTCGAATGGGACGAAAAACCGAGGTCCCATGTACACATTGGCGTGCACGTAAAAGATCCCTTGACAGATGGAATTCGATATAAGAGAATGGCGTATATGCCCGTCTTCATTAGCCCAGTTCGAAGCAGAACAGTAGGACGTTAAACCCCATTTCATTTCATTTCATCTCATCTGACTGTAGCTCTTAAGTTTTGTATTATATTACTCCTACTGTAGCTATAAGTTTTGTAATTATTTCAGGCATGTATTGATGACAACCAGGATATGGTAGAGTTTCTCGTAGATAATGGAGCTGAAGTTGATGTTTGTGATAATGAAGGCTGGACACCATTACATGCTACAGCATCTTGTGGTTTCACAGAAATAGCCAGGTCAGTGTCCATCAACACACTCACTTGACCTCCCTCAGAATGTCCATCTACACACTCACTTGACTCCTGTTTACAATGCCCTTCTACACACTCACTTGACTCCCGTTTAGAATGTCCCTCTGCGATAAGAGCCCCAGACTCCCGCTTAGAATGTCCACCTACACACTCACTCGACTTCCCTCAGAATATCCCTCTGCCATTAGAGCACTGTGTTATAATTTTAAGACTCATTTATTGATTATTTTTTTTTTATTTTTATTTTTAATTTCAGATATTTGATCAAGCGTGGAGCTAATGTAGCAGCTGTAAATAACGATGGCGATTTACCCATGGATATTTGTGAAGATGAAGAAATGGAGAATTTATTACAGAAAGAAATGGATGAACAAGGTAAGAGAGATATTCTACAGGCATTAGCTTTCTCTTCTGTGTGGTGGAGCCACAGTGACTCGATGAATAAGCCGCAGGCTCGCTAACAGAATTTCTGACACTCTTAATTATCCACGTCACACATTATCCAAGAGCTCTTAAATTGTTTTGGGCCTTATTTTGATCTGTCGGCCACTAGTACACAAATGAACATTTCAAAGTATCAATTTTTCATTTATCGCGATATAAACAGTAAATTTTTTCCTATGCTTGCCTGTCAACCTTGTGGGTTTTCTCCAGGTCCTCTGGGTCCAACCTCATGGGTTTTCTCCGGGTCATCCGGTTTCCTCCCACTGCTAAAGACCCCTATGCGCAAGCGAATTATTGAAATAAAATTAAACCATATGTTAGTCCCGAAATGACCTAGTTTGTGTCGAGTGGACGTAAAACCCCATTTCTCTCTCTCTCTCCAGGTCCTCTGGGGTTTCCTCCCACTGCTAAAGACCCCTACGTGCAAGCGAATTATTGAAATAAAATTGAATCATATGTCAGTTCCGAAATGACCTGGTTTGTGTCGAGTGAACGTTAAACCCCATTCTATCTCTCTCTCTGTCCGTATTGAATATGACAGTATATATATTGTAGGTATTGAATATGACATATATATTGTAGGTATTGATGCCGAATTAGCTCGACAAGAAGAAGAAGAGAGAATGTTAGCAGACGCTAATCAATGGTTAAACAGTAAAAACGTGAAAGAGAAAAAGCATACAAAGACTGGTGCTACAGCCTTACATGTCGCCGCAGCTAAAAGTTATATAAAAGTCATGGAGTAAGTACAGATATTTTAAAAGTTATATAAAAGTCATGGAGTAAGTACAGATATTTTAAAAGTTATATAAAAGTCATGGAGTAAGTACAGATATTTTAAAAGTTATATAAAAGTCATGGAGTAAGTACAGATATTTTAAAAGTTATATAAAAGTCATGGAGTAAGTACAGATATTTTAAAAGGGACAGGTCAATCTGATTAAAACACAGATCCTATTTTTTTTCGTTTTTATAGTTCAAAATTTCACTTACTTGTCTTTACTACACTAGGAATTGGAAGAGGTGTTATCATTGACGTCTTCTGAATGGTATAAGGGATTAGCCAATGAAACGGTCTATTATGGCAAACTTTTGGCATGTTTTGCACGGAACTGTGGGTAATCCACTAGTAACATCAATGCTGATTGGTTAATCAAATATCTGACATCATAGGTCAAAAGCCGCTCGTATGACCTCAGACGCGACTTATCGCTACAACCGGTCAGATCTTCATGTAGTGTAGGCCATCAAAAGTATAAAAAAACGAAACGAAATATAGATCTGTATTTTAATCAGATTGCTGGACAGGTAAGAAAACAGACAAGACAAACCTGCGGACCAACTACATTGCAAGATCAGGATGGCTCAGGTTCGCTGCAGTGTTGTCTGAGAATGTTCGTAGTGATTTTCCAACTAGGTTCCCGCTTGTTTGTGCTACAAGGACCATTTGGATGGGACTATTCTAATTTTTATTACTGAGTGTCATTTATTTTTTTGGGTTGTTTCAATTGTTACAGACCTGTTGCATCATTTGCATTTTGCTTCCCCTTCAAATGGTTCGAAAAACTGAGGTCCAGTGTACACATTGGCGTGCACGTAAAAGATCCATGGACAGTTGAAATTCAATATAAGAGTAGGCCGTAGTGCCACTGCCCGGGCAAAATTTCTCTCATAGAACACTGTATGGCTGTCTTCATTAACCCAGTCGGGACAGAATAGTAGGACATTAAACCCCATTTAGTCATTTAACCTGATTTCATTTCCTACAAACATCGTTGACGTGTTTATTAAAATGTTTATTTATTTTTGTAGGATATTAATACAGTCGTTTAACCCGATTTGATTTCGTACAAGCGTGTTTATTGAAATGTTAATTTGTTTATCTTTGTAGGATATTAATACAGGCAGGTGTAGATGTAAATGCTCGTGATAACGATGGTTGGACGCCATTACATGCCGCAGCCCACTGGGGACAAGAAGAATCCTGTCAAATTCTCGTAGATAATATGTGTGATATGGACATTAAAAATAACGCTGTTAGTATTCCCTCCCTTGTCTTTCACTATAACTTAATACACACCTTCGTTGGTGGGGAGTCAAAAGGTCGTATCTGGTATATTTTTGTGAAATTGACTACCCATCATCATTAAACCTGGTTGGTTTGGAAAATCAGGATGTTGAACCCTATGTTATCTCTTATTGATGTCGGGGAGGAGTGGTGGGCAGGGGTTGGATAGCCGAATGGTTAGGTGTGTGCGCAGTATCTGTCATTGAGTCAACTGGCATGATTTTGATTTCTCAGTTGTAGGGTCGCCTGTCCAACCTTGTGGGTTTTCTCTAGGTCCTCCGGTTTCTTGCCACTGCTAAAGACCCCTACATTGAGTTGAAGTTAAACCCCATTTCTCTCTCTCTTCTCATTGATGTGACATTTCAAATGTTTTTGTTCCACTAATTAATCATCCGAATGACAGACTCTCTTATTTTCTTTCTTTAACGTACAATTACAGTTCTAGTTTATTTTTGTTGAATAATTGACGTAAGTGCTCAATAATCGTTAAGTTCATGTGTACCTGTACGGGAGGAACCGAGTATCGCACCAATCTTTCAATTGTGACATCATATAAAAAACCTAAATCTGTCAATCGATGCACAATTGTCCAATTGCCAAGTTCTGTGTCGATCATACTCGAATTAACAAAGCCTAAATCTTTCTGAAGAGTCCAAGAAGAAGAAGACGATTACTAAGTCTCTGGTTACAACATTTGCACTGCTGTATGATCATGTGACGGGCCTTTTCATTGGCCCCGATTTGTGCTATGGTTTTAGTGGGATTGGATGACCTTGTATTATAGGTCTGTCATTGATTCAACTGACGTGGTTTCGATTCCCCGGTTGTACGTGAAAAGGAGTAGGATCACCTGTCCAACCTTGTGGGTTTCCTCCCACTGCTAAAGATCCATACGCGCAAGCAAATTATTTAAATGAAATTGAACCATATGTTTGTCCTGAAATGACCTAGTTTCTCTCTCTCTCTCTCTCTCTCTCTCTCTCTCTTTTGTTCACCATATAACTTTATTTTAATACAACAGGGCCAGAGTGCTTTCGAACTGGCTGATGCGGAAATGGTTCGTGTTTTAGAAGATTTAAAGAAAAAACAAATTACGGTGAGTTCTATCTCTTAGTGATTTAATCACAGACAATTCGATCAGTTCAAGAAAATCAATTAACTTAATATTGATAGCCCATCTTCATTAACCAAGTTGTTACAGAAAAGTAGGACTTTAACCCTTTAACTGTCAGCCATTCCATATGGAACATTTTTCATGACTTACAAGTAAAAAATGTTAAATATTTTATACCACAGAATAGAGGAATTCAAGATCATTCCAAAAATATATACATTTGTATGATTTATTCTTAAATTTAAAGAGTTACAGGATATATTCTAAACTTTATGCTTTCCTAGTCGAAACCCGCAAACAAACCCGTCGGTTAAAGGGTTAAACACCATTTCATTAGTTGATAGTCATGAGATGAAGAAGCCTATTGATCGGATACAAATTATGCCACAAGGTTTTTATTACTTGACAAAGTCTGTGACAAGTGCCGTATGGCTTGCTATTGATTTTTAACGATTTAAACTAACAACTATAGTTATCATCTGATTACCCTTACTTGTGGGGGGTTGGATGACCGAATGGTTGGCATGTGCACGCTGTACCATAAAGTCTGTCATTGAGTCAGCTCGTGTGATTTCGAGTCCCCGGTTGTACGTGACAAGGAGTAGGGTCGTCTGTCCAACCTCGAGTTTTTCTCCTGTTTCCTCTCACTGCTAGGGGGGGTTGGATGGCTGAATGGTTAGCGTGCGCGCGCTATATCATAAAGCCTGTCATTGAGTCGACTGGCGTGGTTTCGAATCCCCGGTTGTACGTGGCAAGGATTAGGGTCGCCTGTCCAACCTCGTGGGTTTTCTCCGGGTCCTCCGGTTTCCTCCCACTGCTAAAGACCCCTACGCGCAAGCGAATTATTGAAATAAAATTAAACCATATGTTAGTCCCGAAATGACCTAGTTTGTGTCGAGTGGACGTTAAACTCCATTTCTCTCTCTCTCTCTCTCTCTCACTGCTAAAGACCCATACGCGCAAGGGAATTATTGAAATAAAATTAAACCATATGTTAGTCCTGAAATGACCTAGTTTGTGTCAAGTGGATGTTAAACCCCATTTCTCTCTCTCTCTCTCTCCCCTTGTTTTCTTTATGTTAGCTCCAGGAAGATCTAGAAACCTATTAAAGTTTTATTATTTGTTAGCTCGAAGAAGTACTAAAAACCTATTAAAGTTTAATTATTTGTTAGCTCTAGGAAGAACAAAAAGCCTATTTCGTTTTATTATTTGTTAGCATTAAAAAGAATATTAAATTGTAATTATTTGTTATAGAAGCCTATCAAATTTTAATTAGGTTATTTGATTATGGACCAACTCAGTTTGTTTTCTTCTATATTATTTATAAATTATACTGGGTAATACAGACAACTCACTATTTCGGATTACGACCAATGAAACCAATCCCAATCGGTCGATTTGATTATATTTGTAAGTTGTAAATATTGTATACTTGTAGTTACGCGATAAAGCCCCTACTGGTGATGAAATTATATCTACGAAAGGTTCAGCACACAAGAGAAGGTAAGTATCTTTAATCAACCAGGGGACGGCGGGTCAGTGAGTAATACACAAGAGAAGGTAAGTAGGAGTGGCGGGTCAGTGAGTAAGGAGTTGGCTAAGCAACCAGGGGTCCAGGGCTGAGAAAATTGATCATTTTTGTCTAGCAAGTTTACCCTTTGTTAGTGGTTCAGTAAGGATGTTTTCTGAGAAAGTATCTTTAATCAACCAGGAAACTCAATAGGTCAGAGAGTAATACTCTCGTCAGACAGTGTTGGCGTCTTTAATGCACTGCTACGGCGACGGAATATGGTCACAGAGCGTGTCGAGATCGCCATAAGCGCGGTAAAAGTGTGGTGGAAACGTCAGATGTCGTGCTATGGTCTCCATGGTTGCCAATGATCGCAGAGTCACAGCGTTTGATTTGAGCATGTTCAAAACAAACGCCAAGGTTCTGTGATCTGGCCTGGAATGCTGTGAGAACGTGACTTTTTTCAAGTTTGTAATTCTTTTTTTTTTCTCTCGTTATGGTTACCTGTTGTTAGTGATTCAGTAAGGAGGGCCTGGCATGGGACAGTGTCTAGTGGTTGGGATGAGATAAAAAAACCTAAACACCAGTGTACACAATGGTGTGCACGTAAAAGAAGCCCTTTGCATTTGGAATTCGATATCTTCAGACTGATTAGCACTTTTTATTTAAACATCCAATAATTGCTAATCTATTGTTTTTTCTTATCCTATGTCCTGACATGACAAGAAGTAGAGTTGCCTGTAGAGCTGCCTGTCCAAACTCCTGGGTTTTTTCTTGGTCCTCCGGTTTCCTCTCTCTCTCTCTCTCTCTCTCTCTCTCTCTCTCTCTCTTTCTCTGTGGATCACTAATGTATAAAATAAATGTTTGATATTTACAGAAGTTCGGTAACCCGTATGAGTGGTGATCAGAAAGCTAACGTGATATTAAAAGCATCTGAAGAAGAACGAGCAGCATTATTTAAAACATCAGATGATAAAGAAACACGTCATAGTGATGAAGAAGACCATGAAACAGGTGAGAACATATTTAGAGGTCACGGTTTAGACACTTGGACCTTGTAAAAAAGGTGATAAAGAAGACGACAACATTTACCCATCATATTTATGGGTCACGGTTCAAAAACTGGGGCCCAATTCATGAAGTCTCAGGGCTTTAATTGAACTTTTTCGAAAAATATCCATATTTCCATGGATTGATCAATGCTAACCTTCCTGATCCATGAAACAGGTTAATGTTTGCCTGTCATTTCAAAGGGTCGCTTTGGACACTGGGGTCAAGTTCATAAAACCGTAAACCGAAATATTTTAGGTCTCTGTGCTTCATTTTTGGAGTCAGACGCTGGCTTGCTAGCGTGGAGGTCGTGGGTTCGCTCCAGGTGTCAATCAAGAAAGTTCATCAGAATTTTCCGGCGTGGTTTCCCCCTTGTCAGTGGTGCAGGATGGATAGTTGTTTGGATGGGACAAAAAACTAATGTCCTGTGTACACTTTGACGTGCATGTAAAAGATCCCTTGACAGTTGGAATTCGATATAAGAGCAGGCTGTAGCCCCTCTGTCTGGTCAAAATTTCCCTAAATGCACACTGTATGGCGTAGTATACCCATCTTCATTAATGCAGTCAGAGTAGAACAGTGGGAACTTAAACCCCATTTCATTTCTGTGCTTCATTTCCTTTTTTTGAAAAATCTAAAAAAATATCCAGTCAATGAAATCTAAATATCCACTACAGATAATCTCCCCTTTTGGATTCACTCAGATTTAAAAGAGGCCCATCAATAGATTTCGTCCAAAATTAAGGGTGGCATTGTAAATACGGAGCGGAATTAAACTATTGTAAGACTGTAAGGGGGTTGTAAGATCGGAATGTTCCAAATTGACAGAAATGCAAGTTCAGTCCAGTCTTAGTTCCAACAATTCCAAATTTAGTGTGAGAAGAATCGCGACGTGATTAAATGTTACGTTTACAGTGATTGGTCGTATGATATTCAGCTGGTGCATGATTGAAGCCTGAATTTCTTGTGTTTACTGGATAAACACCATTAAATTCCAGGATATGTTTAATGTGTCCACTTAAGATCATAAGGTCTGTCATTGAGTCAAGTGGTGTGGTTTTGATTCTCTGCTTGTACGTTACATGGAGTAGGGTCATCTGTCCAACGTCCAAGGTTTTCTCTGGGTCCTCCATTTTCGTCCCACTGCTAAAAGACCCCTACACACAAAGCAAACTATTGAAATAAAATTAAACCATATGTTAGTCCTTAAATGACCTAGTTTGTGTTGAGTGGACATTAAACCCCATTTCTCTCTCTCAATCAAATATCTCGAATAAGTTATAAATAAAAAAAACAATTGTTAAATAAAAATTAATTTGTCTGTGAATTTTTTTTATTTTCAGAACGACAAAATAAAATAAACAAAAAGTCCTCGACTACCGCTCCTACGGTAGGTTACTTTACAATCATTTCCATAGTAACAAGGCATAGAGCACATTTATATGTAGCAAATATTAGCATTTCTTTAGTTGTCATGTACACATATCGTAAAATAGGACAGATAAACTTTAACCAAACTTGACGAAATTAAAATCTTGTTGATTGTTGAGTTAGTAACGTCATTTCAGAATAACGCAGCACAGCACTACTATATCACGGCCTGTTAGCGGCCATGTTTGTTTGTGTGCACCATAAGATCTATTTGTCGATATTTTTAACCTGTATTTAACGTATTCGTATTGAGTAGGCTAAATCTTGTGTCTAATTAAACTGTGGTAGATATATTGACTCGCTAATTGATATGCGCATATCATTATATGAGAAGCTTATATTACACAGACCTTGCTGTAAGACAGTATGATGATATACAAAGGATCACTCGCATGGGATTCAAGCATCCCATTTAAAAAAGATAGCTGATGCTAGGTTCACACTGCTGCGCGATTTGTTACGATAGGGTTATCCCTATTGAGTCCATGATCTGGTACGTTCGGATATGTTTCGATACGATCAACACGATTGCTATGACTGATCACAATATATGATAAAATTTGATAGGATCACCAACATTTTTTTTTTATATTTAAAACCACGATTTTAATCGTACCACGAATCGTGATAGTGGAAACCTAGGGTTTGGAAGAGAAAACCCATCAGGATTTTTGACAAGATAAGCGTGCCTAGTCCTTTGAAATAGAAAAAAAATCATGGTCCACCCATGTATGTACACATTGGAGTGCACGTAAAAGATACCTTGGCAGTTTTAATTGAAAAAGTTTTGGTTCCACGCTTGTACTTGACAATCCAACCTCGTGGGTTTCCTCCGGGTCCTCCGGTTTCCTCCCACTGCTAAAGACCCCTATGCACAATCGAATTATTGAAATAAAATTAAACCATATGTTAGTCCCGAAATGACCTAGTTTGTGTCGAGTGGACGTTAAACCCCATTTCTCTCTCTCTCTCTCTCTCTCTCTCTGTACTTGACAAGGAATAGGATTGCCTTACCAACCTCGTGGGTTTTTCTTTGGGTCCTCCTGTATCCTCCCACTGCTAAAGACTCGTACTCACAAGCAAATTAATAAAATAAAATTGAACAATATGTTAGTCCTGAAATGACCTAGTTTGTGTCGAGTGGATGTTAAACCTCATTTCTCTCTCTCTCTCTCTCTCTCTCTCTCTCTCTCTGTCTCTCTCTCTCTTTTAATTGGGAGAAGAGCAAGCACCATTGCTCATTGTACGCATGTCCGTCCCAAGATAACCAATGTTTTGTGTTGAGACGACGTTAAACCCCATTTCATTTTTAAATAGTAATGACATGCCAAGAGATGTCGTGGTCCAAAATGTATTTTTGTATCCTAGCGAGTTTCGCTGAGAGCAGTGATGATTCGTATTTACAGCAAGGTCTGGGCTAATAACATAAATTACCCGCTGGTGTGGAAATAAACAAAGCTTTGGAAAAAGGGATTAAAAAGATTTGAACTTATAATATAGACTATTTGTGTGAAAATATAATATAAAGATTTTGGAAATTGGAATATTATCAATATAGAGGACTCATTTGATAAAAAAAAACATTTAGTGTGAATGAAAGGAAGTGCCCCAGAACTTTAAATAAGGGCTGAAATAATTTATCTATGAATTGTGATCATTTTCAAATTCACGATGCAATCAATCATTACTGAAATAGATAATTAGGTCACAAGACATTACTCGGCCTTGTATACCAAAAGCTAGGTCAAATTTGTTCCTGTAGAAAAATTAAAAAACTGAAATTGATAATTAGGTCACGAGAAGATTTGGTCATCAGTATTACTCGGCCTTGTATACTAAAAACTAGGTCAAATTTGTTCCCATGAAAATATTAAAATTGCGAAATTTCTAAATAGCAAAACTTTGGCTATACTAATAGGCATTGATGACTGTACAGACGTGTCATAAAGATATCTTGAACACTCTATGAGATATGTTCCAGAATAGTAATTGTGTACCAAAAACTAAAATTAGAAATCTAAGCGACTAGTTTCGTTTATTTCGAGCTCATCAGGCTTAAATGAAATCCAGTGGATGTTCCCTTTATATAGTCGTCGGGGACTGGAGCACAACAAGGGTCTTGGGGTGGACCTGCACAGTGCTGTATCACCGAAGCAACTGCTTCCGTTTAATGGTGAATAGAGAGACGGCTTAAGAATTGTCGTTATAAAATGTTTATTTGCATAAGTAAAAATTGTTTCCATGGAATCACAAAAATTATGAAAATCTTTGAAATAATTGTCAGGTGAAAATATCCAAACACGGTTTTTCCACAACTTATGTTTCTGGGGGACTTCCTTTAATTAAATGCTTGTAAATTTCAAGGACATACAAGGTCAGATCTTCACAAAATAAATTTGGTAATCAAATTTTAAAATATCAAAATCATTTATTTTATTATTAAGATTTTATCAAATTTTTTGCCAGAGATTGTCCTTGACATGTCATTGAATTTGTGATGTTGCTATAGTAACAATATATTAGTCTATGTCTTGTATCTGCATGCAGTCTCTTGAGGAGAGACCAACCATTCTAAAACCGGAAATGCCAAAAATAGACGAGGATGCCGAACTTACCGGAAAACTCCCCACATCATCAAGCGTGACACCCACGGTAACTAACGTAAGTTTGAAAATCACCCAATCAAAAGTCTGTTCTCATTTTGAATTTTTAGTCTTTTCTTATCATTTTTTTTTTTCTCTTCCGTGTTCTTTGAACAAATTTAGTGTTAATTTTAAAGATCCTTTCTTTATGATTCTATTTCATCAAATTTTTCTATTTTAATTTTGGTAATTGAAAATTAATCTTGTTTCTCTGGAATTGTCAAAAATAATATTTGTCGAACATATTAACATGTTAATTCCTTTTGAATAATTCCTACAAAGGTTATCCCCCTTTAGTCTGACCCCCCGGGCCGACCTTTGGTTGTATCGATTTTCGTGCTGTGGTCGGACTATCTGCATCCGAATGGCATTTAGTTCAACTTGACTGGACACCCTCATATTAATTAGTCAATGGTTGGGTTATTTGCTGTTTGGGTGCCGATTCCAACGATAGTCGTGATCATTATCTACATCTGAAGGTCGTCCCAACTGAAATTTCTAGTTTTTCCTCAATCCGTTTAACCCTGTATTTTAATATTTAACCAAATAAAAACAAATTTATTAAAATCTCCATAACTATTAATTCTACTAAAGCAACAAAACCTTAAACCTTGTTCATAGAAAATTAAGGGGTTTAGTAGTAGTTTGGGGGGGGGATCTGTAATTTTGTCAGGGAGCTGAGGTGATTAGTATTTACATGTACGAAGTACTAAACGGTTCAAGAGACATAAGCACTTTAGAGATTTGTGATTTGATCCCAAAAAAAAATAGCTCGGACACATTAGCGCTTTGGGGATTTGCGATTTGATCAGTCTAGAATGAACTCTCTTGCGAAATGTGTTACTCTTCTATAGGACTTGAATTGCAGTTTCACGATATTAGGTGGCATGCACATAAAAGAAAACTTGACGGTTGAAATTAGATATAAGAGTAGGCCATAACGACGCTGTCCGGGCAAAATTTCCCTCGTAGCTCACTGGTGTATGGCTGTCTTCATTAGCCCAGCCGGTGCAGAACAGTGGGATGTTAAACCCTATTTCATTAGTGAAGACGATAGTTTATTAATAATAATTAAGTTTATTTCATACTAAAATCCAAAAATCCAACTTCACATTTGTTACAAATGATAATACCCCTTTAATATAGTAATACCCCTTTAATATAGTAATATCTCTTGAATATAGTAATATCTCTTTAATATAGTAATATTGATTTAAATATCTCTGCATATTGATTTAAATATCTCTGCATTTTGATTTAAATATCTCTGCATACAATGTTAAGAATTTTGCATGATTTGAACAAAAAAAAAAAAAAGAAAATAATAAGTATGGTTTGGTTACGGTAGTGGTGGTGATGGTCTAAAGAAGTGCATCTTGTTGTATATATCTCTTATAGAAAATAATTATATAAAATTGCATGAAAAAAGTCAAATCATAGTGAAATACTCAGTAAGTAAGACGCTAGTTCGCTAACCAGTTCTGTCGGTCCCAACAACAGATGTGGTGTGAGTAGAATCGTGACATATTTAAACACAACGTATATGTTTCAGCTGTCGTCGTTGGTTAGGATATTTTCTTATGCAGTCGGCGCATGCGTTTTAAACAGAAATCCTCCTTTTCACTCGATTGGCAGTTTTGTTGGGATTGAGAGAATTCAATTCTGTAATGTTTAGTCAAGAATCCCTGCCCCTTGTGTCCGAAATCATGTCACTAAACAAGCTGGGCTGTCGGATGGCCAAAAGGTTAGCACGTGCGCATTGTATCATGAGGTCTGTCATTGAGTCAACTGGCATGATTTCAATTCCCCGGTTGTACGTGACGAGGATTAGGGTGGCCTGTCCAACCTCGCAGGTTTTCTCTGGGTCCTCCAGTTTTCTCCCACTGCTAAAGACCCCTACGCGCAAACAAATTATTGAAATAAAATTGACCGTTATGTTAGTCCCGAAATGACCCAGTTTGTGTCGAGTAGACGTTAAACCCCTTTTCTCTCTCTCTCACAAAACAAGGTAAACTGGCATCTCGGAAATGTTATATGAATAAACTGTGTCCAGGGTTTGTTTTAAATAATCGTTGATTAATCTCAGCCAAAAACCTGTACAGAAGAGTTATTTACCCTGAAAGCCGTTAATAAATTTAGTCTCAATTATCAGCTTGACAACTATCTTAGATTTCATTTGAAAATTGTCTGAGTTTTATTTGTTAATATTTCTATTGCACAAAACACTGCACGGTCACAGCACAGCCTGCTAACAATAACCCAAATATTCTTGGTCCGAGTACCAAAAACATTAGGCGCATGGCCTGGACTAAATCTAACAAGGGTTACATTAAGAATGGCCCAATTTAGATTTATGCACATCATGAGTTACATTAAGCACGATCCAGACCACATGTAAATCCATGTTTAAAAACAAGTTTAATTTAGAATGGTCCAGACTAAATCTATGAATAACAAAAGGTACTACATTATGAAGGGCTCGGACTAGTCCAGCTCGGAAATAGGGATGTTTTCCTATTATAAAGGGAAACTTGTAATTTCATATTATGGTGGTTGTAACTATATTCTAATATTCTCTTTTTTTTAAAGGTATAAAGAGGGTTTTTTTAGGGGGTTATTAATTTTTACGATTTTCGTTAACCAACCATCTTACAATAATCATTCATCTATCATCGTCATCTCATATTTCTTTATTTTATTTTCCTTCTAAAGGAGGTGATACAGCCGACAACACCAGTAATCAAGGTCCCCGAACCTTCACCCCCACCAGCCCCTACACCAGACCCTCCCACACAAACTCCCCCCGTCAAAACTGAAGAACCAGTTGAGCCCCCTACCTCTAAACCAGTAGTCCCTGTCCCCGAACCCACACCAATAGTCACTCTGACACCCGAGGTTACAGAGGTTACGCCCCCTCGAGATGAAACCCCTACTCCAGCCCCTGAAACGCCGTCAACCCCGGCAGTGGTATTAGAGGAAACTGAGGTACGTGAGCATGAAGTATTGGCATGTTTACGGTTTTCAGTTAGAATAACCTGTCATGTAATATTTAGGGTGCTGCCATATGGCTACCGTTCACACTAACTTGTGTCATAGGCTTATTAAGTATTATTTTAATTTTGAATTTAATATCAGACAATTATTTACATATATTTCTTTCTTAGTTTAAATTTTTGATGGTATATTGAAAGGCAATGATTGCCCAAAACTATTTTCAACTTTTTATGCTTTTTACTAAATTTTAGACAATAATACAGCATTTAGGAGATACATGTATTGATAGTTTTTTGAAATGTCAGCATGCTTGAATAAAGATTACTTAAAGAGCTTACGAATAATAGATATCAAAATATTCAATCGATCAGTTCTTTTGATTTCACAGCTCCATTTTTATCTGTCTGACAAATGACAAATTGTACGTACTCGCATGTTCTTGATTACATAACAAGATCAGCCATTACAGATGTCTGTGACACCAAAAAAAACTGTGAGCATAAAGGTCCTTTCAGCACCCTTAATCTTACTTCTAAATTTAATTGATAGAATAAATCGGTTAACAATAGTTCTGATAACTCACATTTCAATGTAAAAGATACAAATTTATTAATTGGCTAGTTAGCTCTAGTAACTCACAATTTAATTCAAAAGATACAAATTTTATTAATTGGCTAGTTAGCCCTAGTAACTTTCAATTCAATGAAAGCAAAAACTATAAAATAATTATTTTTCTAGCTCGTTAGCTTTATAGCTTTAATAACTCACAATTTAATTAATGCAAAAGATCCAAATTTATTAATTAGCTAGCCAGTTAGCTCTAACAACTCACAATTTATTAATTGGCTAGCTAGTTAGCTTTATAGCTTTAATAACTCACAATTTAATGAATGCAAAAGATAAGAATTGAATAATTGGCGAACTATATAGCTCCAAGATCTCATCATTTAATTAATGCAAAACTATAAATTGATTAATTGGCTATCTAGTTAGTTATCTCTTGTAACTCACAATTTATTGAATGCCAAAAGTATAAAATTATTAATTGGCTAGTAAGCTCTAGCAACTTGCAAAAGTTATCAAATGAGTAATGCGTGAGCTACTGAACGCACAGTTTCATGAATGTAAAAGATATGAATTGGTTTATTGGCTAGCTAATTATCTCTAGTAAAAGCTATCAAATGATTAATGAGTGAGTGGCAAGAGCTACTTAACGCACAATTTCATGAATGTAAAAGCTATGAGTTGAATAATTAGCTAGCTAGTTATCTCAAGTAACTCACAATTTACTCAATGCAAAAGCTATCAGATGATTAATGGGCGAGCTACTTAACTCACAATTTCATGAATGCAAAAAGTATACAATGACTAATTGGCTATCTTATTAGCTTTAATAATTTACATGTTAATGAAGTCATTAAATTGATCAATTAACTCACTAATTAGCTCTCATAACTCACAATTTATTAATTAGCCAGCTAATTATCTCTAATGGCTCACAATTTAATGGATGCAATCGCTATAAATTTATTAAACCGCCTAATTAATTAGTAATAGTAATTCCAGATATAAATTAAATTATTTTGTATTTTTAATTAAAACGTACAAATACAAAGTATATAGTGATTTGAATTGATTGCTAATTGTTTATAAGTAAAGGAATACAACGCACCAGCCACCCCTTACCCTTTCTTTACCCCTTAAAACCAATCTATAAGCAGATGTACTTTGGTATTATTTGTGTTATATGTTATTGCATGCAGACTTCTAATCACTGTCGCTTGTAATATCGGCCGTAAAATACTGCTACATTCTTGCAGAATGAAAAACTTCACACCATTTTGTAACCCAATTCACAGCCCTTGAACACTACCTGTTTGACTATCCTACCAGTAAAAATGCCTAGACTTGGTTAGCTTTTGTCCTCAGTATTAGAAACGCTTCTATTGTGTCTCCTTCATATTGATATTGACCGCATGATTCCAAACCTGCTATTGTCTCTCTTAACTTTCATCGAAAAATGTCTTATTTTTCTTTGAATACTTTTTTGCCTTATTTTAACTGTTCATTACCCATTAACTTTCCATTACATATTTACATTTTTTATTGTACATTGACTATTCATTACACATTGAATTGAATATTAATTATATATTGACTATTCATTACACATTACCTATTCACTATTCATTACATATTGACTATCCATTACTCATCAACTATCTATTACACATAACTATCCATAACACATCAACTATTCATTGTGCATTAACTATTCATTACCCATTAACTATTCATTACACACTATCTATCCATAACACATTAACTATTCATTAAACATTATCTATCCATAACACATTATCTATCCATTACACATTAACTATTCATAACACATTAACTATCCATTACACATTAACTATTCATTACACATTAACTATTCATTACACATTAACTATTCATTACACACTATCTATCCATAACACATAAACTATTCATTAAACATTATCTATCCATAACACATTAACTATTCATTACATGTTAACTATCCATAACACATTAACTATTCATAACACATTCACTATCCATAACACATTATCTATCCATAACACATTAAATTGCTTTATTACACTAATATTTAGTTATATTTCATCATTAATTTATCATTCCAGTATTGATACCAATATCTCGGTATCATCATTTAAATATTAATAGTCATGTTTTCATAATTCAGATATCAATATCAATGCATCATCATTCGAATATCAATATAATTTTTGTTATTCAAATATTAATTTTTTCTCGAACTATGCTCTTTATTGCTCTGTCATACAAATCTTATCCTATTTTTAGTTTTAACATTTCTTCATAGAAATTCCTAGAGTACCATTTTCTATGTAGCTTTATAGAGATTAATTTTTAAGCCATCTAAAAATGAAATAAGTCTCGGACTAATGATCTAAGGAAAATATACAACGAACGTGAGCAGGAATAAGAAAAAAAAAACCTGTTAGCTTGAACACGAAAACCATAAATAACAACAAAATATTTTATTCGGCAAATTCAGAAAGCTACTGGTTAATAGCATCTATTTGATTTATTGTAAAAGACATTTGACGAACGATCTAAATCACATTTTTGTCTTTTCGCATAAAAAACGCAAAACAAACTTTGAAACTTGATGAACTGGAAAGATTGACGCGACTGGGATGCTGTGGATTTACCTGTAGATCATTCTCGATGTGACTCTGCCGAGACACTGTGGATTTAGATCATTCTCGATCGGGAGGCAATTTCAGAAGGGCCCTGGTTTGATGCAACTCCAATCGTTTTTACCTGAAGTCGATTGTTCCACCCTATTCAATTTGCTACCAGATGGCGCCACTGGGGTTCATGAAAAGAGTAACTTAGATTACTCTTCCCCTGGACGCTTCATTTACTGCTCTTGGTGGAATTGATTTGTAGAACTTTATTTCATTTTCAAATCATTAATCGGTCGTCATTCTGAAAAATATACAATTTATTTTTAGATGGCTTTTGTATGATTTTTGTCATTTTAGTTTAAAAAGAGGTTGTACTACTATTTACTGTTATGAAATATAAATTGCCTTGGGATTATCCGACCCTGGTTTCGATTTTCCTTGTCACTGGGGCAGAAGTGTAGTTAGAAATATCGCTGTTCGAAGGCTAAATTTGGTGCAGCAAAGTTAAACGCCATTTTATTTCATTTTGGTATTAATTTTCTGGGCTGATGTTTCATCAGGTTCAAAATAACTGTAAATTGTCAAACACATGTTGCCCGGCAGAATCTACGATAAAAAACCTTCAAGATTTGACAAATAAGATAGTATTACTACCTCTTTACTGTTGTATTTAGTTTTAACCGGGCTCTCATTTCAGACAAAATTTATCAGCCTTGACTGACTAATTGAAATACTTATTTGTTGATCATTTCCATGTCGTATTAGTTCCATGTATCTGAGAGAAAAAAAATTCACCTTAAATTCGCTGATTGTTATATTTGCATTAAGCCAAATCCACGCGAACATGTACGCAAATTAATTATTTAACATTATTTAAACATATACTAAGTAAGAATTAGATAAAAAAGTTGGTCGTTCTTACTATAATAGTTCAAAAATAAATAATGCAAAAATTAATCTATTGAAAATTTCTTTCAAATTACTCTATTCTGAGCGAAAGATATTAGCCTTTGAAGGTTTGACAAGATGTGTGCACTGATTGTAACCAGTGTACTGATTGTTTGAGGCTTAATCTTGCTTCACCATTTTTAAATTAAATCATTAAATGTACAAACCGTTCTAATCTACTTAAAATCAGCGTCATCCGATGCCATCAAGAGATGATTATGGTCTTTTCGTGTTAATAAATGTCGAATTGATAATCTATATAACATTTCAGGTAAAAAGAAAGCCCTGCAATAGGCAAATTTGGCTAATGCATAATGTGTATCAATAGATTATCACCGTCTCCGAGCTTAGATTCAATCAGACTAAAATGAAGGTTTCTACCCAATACTAGCAGACGGTGCTGGCCTATTTATAGACGGTGCTGGCCTGTTTATGTCGTCAGCAGAGGATTTAAAATTTTCAATTCATTGTAATTACTGAACAGAATTGAACCATTTTAGATTGATATTCCTTTTAAAGAGCTAAATCTGCCTATTACAGGTCTTTATTGTGACATCAAATGTGATGTAAACTATTATTTAGACATTTATTAAAATGTCAAGCACATAATCGACTCTCCAGGCCATCGTATGGCAGAGATTTATTAAATAGATTAGAACGTATGGGAGATTAAACGCTAACGCTAAAATGGATAATCATGACATAGTCTTGTTTGTTCTGTACAGTTTCTAAGATAATAAATTTTCCATATATTCGTTATTCATTATCTATTTTTGAACTATTATCGCAAGAACTAGATTTATTACAATCCGTGAGATGGAAATAAGTCAAATTATGTCTGGCTGGTAAATTGTTTGAAGAGAGCGCCCTCGTTTGTAATTATGCATGCTGACTGCTGTATGTCTTTAACCATTATCTTCTGTAGGGTCATTTACGCTTCACAACTACGTCGTCCATAACTCCCAAGATCAACGTTTTCAACTGGCGTAGATCGTTAGATAAGACTGGTAGTTCTTATCTACCTATCGATAAAACTTTACGCTCACGGTCCACATCAGATATTTACACAAGTGTGAGTTTTTAAAAATGGACGTTTAATTTTTTTTTTATTTTTTTTTTTTAATTTCAGTTATAAATATTCTATTTGTTAGTTTCTGTTTTAAAATTGGATACCATTTAATGAAAGTTTTCGAAACTATAGATTTATTTTTTTAATGTTGTATGCTGACAAACTATACCTTGAGGCACAACCAATTCATTATTTAATTCTTTCATGGCTTGAAGCCTCTCGAGTCTCATGAAAAATATTTTATTTAGAAATTTAAAACTTGGAACTAAAAGTTATTGAGATGAGCGAACCGACTAATTGTGGTTTTTAAATTGTCGTATTTTCCCCCAAGAAATAAGACAGAAGTTCCAATTAATGCGGCCAAATACAGTTCTGATGGAATAAAGTACACTAAAGTTTTTATTCGTTATCGTTAGAAATAAGGTCTTCTGTTCATAAATAAACTACGGTCAGCGGTAGTTGTATTAGAAAAGCACAGTTTTAAATAGCACCAGGCACTTTGTTGAAACCCTTTCTCCGTGCACCCTATTATAAACTGATAATAACAAACTTGTTAAACCTCGCATAGACAATTAACAAATTAGTATTCCTCTGAAATGTAAGAGCCAGTCGTTTGCCATGTATGTCATAACCACAATCATTAGACACAAGCGCATCCATTGGATAAAATTTGAGATATTTTATACTATATATTTCTATTTTATTATGAAATGAAAAAAATGTATTGAGCAAAACTTTTTTATTCTATGATCTTAAATGTTATCTCTAATATATCTTGTTGAGTAGGATCGCCTGCCGAAACTTCGTGGGTTTTCTCCGGGTATTCAGGTTTCCTGCCACTATTTATGACCCTTTCGCGACAGCCAATTATTAAAATATGATTGAACCATATGATGGTCCCAAATTGACCTAGTGAGAGGACATTTAACTCTTTCTCTCTCTCTCTCTCTCTCCCTCTCTCTCTCCTTTCAAAAATCATTCGGTGATAGGTTGTGGACAAATTAAATGTGGTTATGACATATAATGGCTACTGGCTCTACTCTATGACTTCTGTTCATGACTTCTAACATAGAAATTTATCAATGTTATAGAGTAGACATATTGCTTGAAATTAGATTGAATTAGATGCTTGTTAACTCTTTACCTTTCAGACAAATCTTTCTAATACTTGTATTTCTTGAACTCTTATTATAATTTATTCAGTGGTTGGTGTAAAATGTCCAATAACGTCCATAGAATTAAATGTTTTTAATAGTTTTTGTGATTTCTTTTTGGTACAGGAGAAAGAAGGAAGTCCGCGGTCAAATAGTACATCTGCTGTCGAAGAATCAAAACCAGACAGGTTTGACAAACTTTATTTTTTTATTTATCGATGTTTTAAATCATTCGTCATGTTTATGATTTTAAAAGAAATGAAAAGTCCAGGGGAAGAAAGATCTAGGTCACATTTTTGTCTTTTCGCATAAAAGGCAAAACAGATTTTAGACGAGAATGCTTGATGCGAACAGAATAACGAGTGGAACAACTTCAAAATGATGTTTAATACAAATAATTACCAGTACAGCAACTGACTTCCACTTTTCAGCCAAATTAAGGTCAAATAAATACGATGGACTTGTATTTGTCCGGGAGGCCATTTCAGAAGGGCCTTGGTTAGATGTATCCGATTGTTTTATCTGAAATTGATTGTTCCACAGAAATCTTATACAATTTGCTACCAGATGGCACCATTAACTGGGGTTCGTTTAAAATGTGACTTAGATTGTTCTTCCCCGGGGCTCCTCATATGTTTTTGTGTATAAGAAATGTACCGTACATTAGATTGTGTATTGTTTCAATGACATCATTCATGGGCCACAAGTAGATGTATTTTAACATTAGCGATATCAACCTCCTTCATTTCAGTCAAAATAACGTGTTGAATTTGCTTTGTTGGTTATGTTATCTCAATTATGTGATTAAATCATTTTGTTAAGCTACGTAGCAGAATCCTCTTATAAACATGTGTTCATTAGCCCAGTCGGAACAGAACAGTATGATGTTAAACCCTATTTCATTTCAAACTTATATAAACAAGTCATTGTTTCGCTTTTGGCTTAAACTGTCGACAGTTGAACGCAAAATCGGTTATACCTCAATATTGTTTCTAACTGAGGACGCAAGGGACCGATGCAAAACTTAGACACTTGCGTCCAGACGAATAACGGGTGGAACAACACCACAGATAGAAAAGGATAAATTAAATATCGGTTATTTAACATTAAATCATGAACGAAACCACATGTCAGTATGTTGACGCAGTTTGGTGGGCGTGTGACGGGATCTATTCGCAGGTTAATCATTTAGACACAAATGTTGAATTCGTAGGATGGTACGTAGGATTTTAATTGTTGATAGATACTCATTTCAATACATCTGATTGAATAAAATCAACACTTTTATTTTTAACCGAAATCAAGGAGGCTGTGTATATCCTTTTACATCAAAACTTTTCAACAGAGTCAACCATGTGTTGACGACATGGTATCACTATCTGAATAAAAATCACTGTTAATTTATAACAATTGACAGAAAAATACGATTTAGAAAATAAATCTTCTGCTTGTAAAGGATATCATTGCAAATTTCAACACTTGCGCCTAAATGATTAACCCATGTATAGATCCACAGTAAGATAATGATATTCCTGTTCATTATTCAATGTTAAAAAACATTATTCGTTCAGGTGGAAGTGTTGAAATTTTGCATGGGCCTTTAAGAAAAAAAAAACATTTCACTGTTGATGTTACTTGTTACTCATAATTAATAGCCCAAAGAAAACTTGATTCATTTTTACTTGCTTGAAATTTAATTTTTGCACATTGAAGCTTGACATTTAATTTTTGCACATTGAAGCTTGAAGTTTAATTTTAATTCACTGTAACATAAGCTTGAAGCTTAATTTTAACTCACTGTGACTGGAGTTTAATTTTATCTCACAGAAGCTGGAAGTTTAATTTTAAATCATTGAAGCTTGAAGTTTGATTTTAACTCACTGTGACTGGAGTTTAATTTTAACTCACTGAAGTTTGACATTTAATTTTAACTCACAATTTTAACCTTTTATATTTTGCTTTTTTTTTCTTTCACATTTTGCTTTTTTTTTCGTGAAAATTTTAAGTGTTCCCTGTATCTGTTGATTTGTTTTTCTTACTTAAATGTTATTTTTTTGTAAGATGTTTTATTAACTGAAATACAAGTTGAACCGTGCTCGGTAGTAGGTGCTGGATAGGGATATACAGTATAGACATTGTGCCAGTAGAATTTAACACGATATTGTGGTGTAGGGTAGAAATGTACAGTATAGACACTGTGGCAGTAGTGTATTTCACTATGTTGTGGTGTAGGGTAGAAATATACAGTATAGACACTGTGACAGTAGTGTATTACACTATATTGTGGTGTAGGGTAGAAATATACAGTATAGACACAGTGTCAGTAGCATTTGACACTCTATTGTGGTGTTGGGTAGATTAGTGCAGTAATAGACATCATGGCATTTATATTATTATTCACATTGAAAAATGTGTAGGGTGTAGGCAGACTATATTTTATCTATGCTATGGTATCAAATGTATATTTTGAGCTTGGGCCATTTTGTATTCTGGACACAATACACAGTTGAACAGAAGATAAATCTTAGGTAAAAAAAAAAAAAATCCAAATGAAATTTCTGCCAAAATATTTTCTGAAAATAGGAACTAGAATAAAATCGCTTTGAGTTTGATCATACTTAGGCCTGAACAATTTAAATTTGAGTTGTTCAGGATTTCAATGATTAACTAGCCACTTCATCTTGTAGATAATGTTTTGCCTTAAAATTTGGAACTAAAAAAGCATTTGGGAATAACTTTTTTTTGTAATATATTCCCGGAAATGAGAAGCAAAGGTGTTTCCGAATACCAAAATTCAGATTGATGTCGCCTAACAGTTAAAACTTCAAAAAGTGAATTTAAGACTATTTTTTGGTGCAACATGTCTTACATTTATTCGTAGAAATCACCGCAATCTTTTGAACGAAAAAAATATCCCATCAGTCACTTATCATAGTAACTTTTTTTAACGATTAACATTTTTAACAACATATCTTAAATAGTTTCGTAACATACTTCACAGTGTTGACTACACAATATTTGTCTTGTTACCATGACTACACCAGTGTACTATGGACGTCAATCTCATTAGAACTTTAAAATTTGAAAATATTTCATCTGTTGTCTTTGAAGTTTGATTTGACCCACTGTGATTGGTTAAGACCATTTTAACCTATCGAAAAAGCATCTTTTCATTCGCTAATCAGGGGTCAAGTCAATGAAACAGCCCAGTTCTTTAAAGGGTGTAAATATATACGCAACCTTCAAATTACCGGTAGAAAGAAAAGAATGGTTTGATCATCAACCTTGATGAAGATTGGTTGAAGTGGTCTGATATCATAAAATTCAAATTTTGACCAATCATGTTGAAAAATTTTAATTTTGGCCAATCATGTTGAAAAATTTTAATTTTGGCCAATCACACAGAAATTTTATATTTTGCCTGGTCATGTAGAAAAATTCATATTTTGACCAACCATGTTGAAGATTTTTAATTTTGGCCAATCATGTAGAAAATTTATAATTTTGCCCGGTCATAAAGAAAAATTCAAATATTGACCTGTGCCAACGTAAAAAAAATTGAACAGATATTTGAAGATGTAATCGGGTTAATTTGAATGAACAAACAAGTCGACTAGAATAGTCATGGTAACGGATATTTAGAACTTTGTGACTTATATTAAAACTAACAATTAGAGAAATTAGTATATAATTTGTGTTATTATTTTTTAATTTAGAAATTTAACGTAGATATATATTGTATTTCTATATTGTTAGATAAAACTATTCTAATTAAATGTTTGAATATCAAATAAACTTAGTATTTCCATTTCTCATCTTCCTTAGCCCAGTTGGTGTAGAAAAGTAGGACGTTAAAACCCATTTCATTTCATTTCCTTTCATTCTATAAGAATATTGTCAAAGTTTAAAATTTTATCACTAAGGATTTTTTCAGGGCTTCTGTATTGTCGTAATAGAAATAGCGCTTTCGTTATTTATGAAGGGTGGGAGTTGAAATGGAAATTCATTTTTGTACGGTGTTAAGTTAAATAAGAAAACTGATAAACATAGACTCATCATTGAAAATAAAACAACTTTCTTGTTGTTGAAGATCTATAAATAGGTGAACAGCCTTTCCAGATTTCTCTCAGTACGCTACTAGTTTCATTCTATTCGAAATCTTCAGGCTTCATTGAGGATGTGCGGTTGCCCTCTTTATATAGTCTGTGGGAACTGGAGCACATGTGACGTCACAGATGGACCGGAGTCAATCTTTAACACCGGAGTCGATTATTCCAAAAATTCCAAAGATATTCGGCTAAGTAAGAAAATTGCCATCGTAATTATGCATATTTGCATAGACTCAGGGTTCCAAACTTTCTTGTTGGTTATTCAAATTACACTGTAAACAGTTTTACGTAAAACTTGTATAACACTAGGAATACTTTAGTTTGTTTCATACTCAAGTAAACAGAACACAGAATGTCGTACTGAAACCCTGGCGGCTGTTGATAATATAAACACTTTGAAATAGTTTGAGAAATAAATAACTACCGGTAGCTTGTGAAAGTTGGAAAAACTTGATGAATTGCTAGCGATTTCCTAGCTTGATAAAATGCTATTATTCCCCATTTCGCCTGGGGGTTATTTTGGGTTTTTTTGCCACAATAATCGAATTTTGATCCATTAAAATTATTAAAAGTGTATTTTTATCAGTTTGGTTATGTTTGATTGTCATTTAGCTAAGTCGCCTGTCCATCCTCGTGGTTCCTCCGGTTTCCTCCCACTGCTAAAGACCCCTACGCGCAAGCGTATTATTGAAATAAAATTAAACCATATGTTAGTCCCAAAATGACCTAGTTTGTGTCAAGGAGTTAAACCCTCTTTAAGAATTTTAAAGAGACACTCCCAGAAATAAAAGTATGTGTACGTATGAAATTTAAGCGCCAAAATATTGAGGAATGGTGTATTTACCGTGTCTCAAAATTTCAGCTCAAAATATCGAGTCGTTTGGACGTAACCCTTTTAAGATTTTGGGTCATTTTTATCATTGGGTGACCTGTTAATCTATTGCTGTAATTTTAGGGGTCTATACGTGCATGGCCCACGTGCTGTACTTGATAACGAAAGGTACATTTCACCTACACGTTACTTGTATAAAATAAGTCTGGTTTTATCCAGACACCGTATAATACAGCTTGGGATACCTGTCTCCATTTCCAGATAAAGACTGGCTTATTTAAATTGTTTGAAAACGTATCAAGTTAGTTGCTCCACCCGAATGTAGAGGTTTTTACGGTCTTTTAACACAAAATTAAGCTGTTTTATTTTCCAAAATAAAATTTTCCACTTCATTGCATCATTGAATTTTATGTTTTGGTTTGCTTTGTGATGTGACAGTCTTGTCTTCATTCTAATTTTTATCTAACCGATGATTGTCAATGGACAGTTTAATTCAAAAATAAAATAAAAATTTAACCATAAAGATTTAGAGATTATTTACTGTAATGCTACAAAAAGTGGTTTAGCTTAACTGCAATCAAATATGCCATTAAAAAATGAAAAATTCAACCATAAAAATCTTGTTCTACAAATCAAATTACCACAATGGGTTATTTTACTTTGACTTTAAAACCATCTTGATCAGACCAGTAGGAGTGGCACATTAAACCACATTTCATTTGAAATTTAAAAATGAGGTTTAGCTTAATTGCAATGAAACATGCCATTAAAAAAATGAAAATTCAACCATTAAAATCTTGTTCCATAAATTAAATTGACTTTAAAACTGTTGTCCAACCTCGTGGGTTTTCTCAGGGTCTTCTGGTTCCTCCCACCGCTAAAGACCCCTACGCACAAGCGAATTATTGAAATAAAATTAAACCATATGTTAGTCCAGAAATGACCTAGTTTGTGTCGAGTGGACCTTAAACCCCATTTCTCTCTCTCTCCTTTAAAACCGTCTTCGTTAGACCAGTAGGAGCACAGAAGTAGGATATTAAACCCCATTTAATTTGAAATTTAAGAAAAAGTTTTAGCTGAACTGCAATCAAACATGCCATTAGTCTAGTAATAAATGTTGTATTCTTATCTATCTATATATATCTATCTTTCTCTTAGTTTTAATTTAGCTTTGGTTAACGGCATGGTGCATGTTTGTTTTTTTATGTTTTTGCTAGTTCCAGATCGAGCGGTTCTTGTTGTACGTCTTCCTCTTCCTCCTTGACAACCTCCCTAACAACTGGTTATACCTCTATTAAACCCTATACATCAAGTTACAAACCATACTATCGTAGGCAACAAGAACAGAACGAACAGCGAGAGAAATGGAAAGAAGAACTCAAAACAGACCTACTTCCTGCACCCATTAAAACTCTACCGACACCAACAGTCACTGTGGGAACGTCATCCACCTCGGCTTCTGTTTCCACGACGTCGGTCTCCTCGGTAACGACTCCATCATCAACAACAACAACAACTAGTGTTACCACGCCAACCAGTACAGTATTAAAACCAGGGTAAACAAATTACATCATTTCCTGCTATTTCTTTCTGGGACAAAACTTGACGAGGAGAAGAGACCAGAGAACTTACAACCTTATGTTTATTTGAAAGAATCTCCATGGAAGTGACCTGGAGAAAAATAATCGCCACGGAAACAGCAACAATTTCCCATCATTTTCATAATTCATATTTGTGATGTACATTTTGATTGGGAGAGAAATGACTTTGCTTTTTAGGTTCCCTCAGACTTTGGTTCATGAAATTTGCATTTTTATTAAGTTTCAAACAATTTGGTTATTTCTATTTGTTATTGAGAACTGAGATGGGAATAGGATTAAATCCCAATCAACCTAATTAAAACTAAATCTTATTTTCATTCCGTGTATTTCTGTTGGTTACTCCACCCGTAAACATCTAAAAACATAGTTTATAATAAAAAAAAAACACTGTCTGGGTCCATGACAACCATCGTCGGTCTTCCCCAGTGGTCTCATTCCTTTCTACGCCACTATACCCTTGGTTTAATCCATAGGGTTTTCACGATTTCAAATTATCTGCAAACCAATCAAAAAACATTTTACAAACTAATCTTACTGAGACTCTTTAGTCTTTTTGTTTTGTTCACAACAATATGGCGGCTTGTTGCAACACAATGAGAGTTACTTCCCTTTGCCAACTTCCTTTGCAATTAAGGATTTATCGGATTGGTTGATAAAAATAGCACAATCAACAAGGGCAGATAACTTGAATACGGGTCCCCTCCATGGATTAACCCAGAGGTTAGTGGAGTAGAATGAGATCACTGGGGATATCGAGGATGCATGATGACAGAGTGACCTTGATTCGACAGACACTGAAATGATTTCCCAGAATTTTTGAGATCGCTTATTTTGATTGGTAGGTTTGGTCAACTAAACTGTCCTATAAACAAATGTTTTCGTGAAGTGGAGTAAACAACCGAAAAATAAAACGGAATGAAAGGACGAAATGGGAGTATAATTTTGATTATACAAACATTCTGTTCAAATAAAGCTTTCAGAAACATTTGTAAATTTCATGAGTTTAAAGTCTGATAGAATATAGGCTAAATTGTGTGAGGGTTTCAATTATCCCATTTTGACGTAGATAAAGTAGATTAAATGTATTCCATACTAATTCATCATCATCGTCATCATTTGTCTTTGAAAACCCAGATTTTCATTCAAGATTTGTTCATAAGTTCATCTTTTTTTTCTTTTTAGCGTAATGTCAATCAATAATATTGCTGCACAGCTTGATAGACCTATGCACAAATGCTTGGCACCGCCAATTTTTCTGTAAAAGAAACTTGATATGATTTGAGCCAAGAATAATTCACTTGGTGTAAAAAAAAAATCAGTGCCAGAAATAGCCATTTTTGTTGTGCCAGCATAGGTTCTAGGCCTGACCTGGGTCCTAACCCTTATCCCTAGAACCACATTGATCTACAGACTTAACTCGGGTTTCAGCCAATTCAAACTTTTTGTGTTCAGTTTCAGATTTACTCAAATTTTTAAAATCCACCTATGAGTGGAGTATAACAGGCACAACACATTTATTGTACTGGGTTGACAATAGATAAAACACATTTATTGTACTGGGTTGACAATAGAACATATTTATTATACTGGGTTGACAATAGAACATATTTATTATACTGGGTTGACATAAAAACACATTTATTATACAGGGTTGACATAAAAACACATTTATTATACAGGGTTGACGATAAAACACATTTATTGTACTGAGTTGACAGTAGAACATATTTATTGTACTGGGTTGACAATACAACACATTTATTGTACTGGGTTGACGATAGATAAAGTACATTTATTGTACTGGGTTGACGATAGATAAAGTACATTTATTGTACTGGGTTGACAATACAACACATTTATTGTACTGGGTTAACAATAGATAAAACACATTTATTGTACTGGGTTGACAGTATAACACATTTATTGTACTGGGTTGACAGTAGAACACATTTATTGTACTGAGTTGACAATAGGACACATTTGTTGTACTGGGTTGACGATAGATAAAACATTTATTATATGGGGTTGACAATTGATATAACACATTTGAGTAAAGCTTTAATTGATCAAGAAATGTTTGCTGCTCCTCTGCTCAGACGGGTGACAGCAGTCGGCATACAGCTTTTTCCTTCTACTACTCAGAAAAAGCTGCATTCTGGTATATGTGCTGGTTTTACGGTGGCAGTATTGTTGGTTGTCCTTCCTAATCATCATGTTAAACCACATTCCATAAATATTTTACTTTTAATTTTTACGAACCTCCAAAGATAGATTGATGTTTTAATGACCAGAGTTATATATTTTAGTTTTAAATCTTATGAACCTCCGAAGAGAGACGAGGAAACGGAGACACAGAGACGAGTTAAAGCTAAACGAGCGAGAGAAACCAGGAGGTCAACACAGGTAATACTTTTCTCTTACAGGTGGGAAGCCACAGTGGCCATGGTAGGGAGCCACAGTGGCCATGGTAGGGAGCCACAGGGTCCATGGTGGGAAGCCACAGTGGCTCAGTGAGTAAGAGGCTGGCTTGCTAACCTGGAGATAACAGGTTCGCTCCCGGTGTTGGTTGAGAAACTTACTCAGGATTTTCCAGTGTGGCTTCCCCTTGCCATTGCTGCAGACCTAAGAATCTTAAAAGGACGGCCGTCTAGTCATTCAGATGGGACGAAAATCCGAGGTCTCAAAGTATACATTGGCATGCACATAAAAGATCCCTTGGCAGTTGGAATATGATATATTCTGTACAGACTACAATCATTATCTGATCTTTTTGTAATTTATATAATGATATTTACATTAGTGAGATGAAGAAGCCTATTTTTTGTCTTGTTTTATCAGGGTGTGTCGTTGGAAGATTTGGAAAAGGCGACAGGCGAAGTTAAAAAGAGTGATGATAAAAATAAAGATCAGAAATTATCTCAGGATCAGACAGACGCTGCGAATAGTCGAGTTAGTGCAAATATTCCTTCAAGTACTGAAGATTCAACAACATCTACACGTAGACGAGCGTGGGATGATAAAAAAGATGTAAGTTAAATGTCCTCTGTTTACAGGTCTTTATAATGTCCTCTGTACACAGGTCTTTATAGATCTATCATGTCCTCTGTACACAGGTCTTTACATATCTAACATGTCCTCTGTACACAGGTCTTTATAGTTCTAACATGTCCTCTGTACACAGGTCTTTATAGATCTAAAATGTCCTTTGTTCACAGGTCTTTATAGATCTATATGTTCTCTGTTCACAGGTCGTTATAGATCTGATATGTTCTCTGTACACAGGTCTTATACTGATATTGGCCGGAAAAGTTCCTCTTGATTTTCTGGCGTGTTTTCGGATGGAACGGAAAAATCAGGGACTGTGCATGTAAAAGGCCCCTTATTGCCATCTGTTCAAAATTTCTCTCTTAGCATAGGCTCTTTAATAACTCAGTATCAACGCACTTTATTAATGACGATATAATTATCATCTTCATTCTTATAGTGATATAAGGTTATCAATCTAACATGTCCTTTGTTCACAGGTCTTTATAGAGCTATCATGACCCCTGTTTGCAGGTACAAATCTAACATGTCCTCTGTACACAGGTCTTTAAAAATCTAACATGTCTTTTATATTAAATATATTTCAGGAGGAAACGTCGTCTAGAAGTAGCATACGAAGAACTCGTGAACCGAGAGATACACTTGCTAACAGTACAGATTATACTTCTGGTAAATATTACATCAGAGTTATTCCCCTTTAACTATAAAGAACATGACTATCCAATGTCCTTGACTTGTTCAATAGTCTGATATATAAGCAGACTGAGCAATGGTGACTTTCAGGATCTTTAAATATTTTCTCTTGCCCTGTTATCAATTTCCATAATTGTTTCATTATTAAAAGGGATATTGTTACTGAAGAGCTACACAAGTAGCGGATAACTCAGCTGCCCGGGTTGTGTCCGAAACCGAAAGCAGTAGGCCAACGCCACCTAGCCTGTGGTACTTCCCGATCCGAGCTACCCCTATACACCAAATTTCAACCGGACAGTCACAAATATTAGTATAGATTATTTTCAAGCCACTGTCATCTTCATTAGCCCAGGCGGAGTAGGACGTTAAACCCCATTTCATTTTTAAAGGGGGTCTAGTGGTTTAACGTGTGCACGTTGTATCAGAAGGTCTGTCATTGAGTCAACTGCCGTGGTTTCCATTCCCCATTTGTACGTGACAAGGTGTAGGGTCGTCTGTTCAACCTCGTAGGTTTTCTCTGAGTTCTCCAGTTTCCTCCCACTACTAAAGACCGCTACGCACAAGCGAATTATTGAAATAAAATTGCACTATTTGTTAGTCCCAAAATGACCTATTTTGTGTCAAGTGGTGGTTAAACTCTCTCTCTCTCTGTGCTGACTTGACATTAAACAGTAATATTCTATTTTTCAGCGTACATACCTCGAAGTCAGCGAAATGCTTTATCAACGTCCGATATAAATAATACTAGTCTAGGGGGCAGCAGTAACCTGTCGCGTTCCAGTTCTACAAGAAGTAGATTACGGAATGGGGAAGTCGAAACAAAAGAAGTACCTAAAGAAAATACAGAAGAATCTAAAAGAGGTGAATTATCAAACAGTTATAAATGTAACCCAGATAGCGTTTAATCTTGGGTATTTCGCTCTAATCTTTCATATACATCGAGCCACAGTGGCTAAGTGGGTATGTCGCTGCCTCGCTAGAAGCATGGAGGTCGCATGTTCGCTCCATGCATTGGCCGAGAAAGTTAATGAGGATTTTCTGTCAGTTGTGTAGTCTAGTAGTTCGGTTGGTACAAAAAAACAAATGTCTATGCATTGGCGTGCACGTTAAAGATCCCTTGGCAGTTGGAACTCGATATAAGGGTAGGTCATAGTGCCGCTGCCCAGGGCAAAATTTCCCTTATAGCGTACGCCTGTCTTCATTAGCCCAATCGGAGCAGAACTGTAGGACGTTAGACCCCATTTCATTTCCATTCTTTCAGATACATTCAATAACAAATCTTGGTTTGAAAATTTGTAAAAATCTATAATGACCCAAAATCATCTAATAGTAAATGTAGGGGGATGGCACTACACATAATTTACACAAAACAAAACTGCGGACAAGACACAATACGCAGAAATCACAAACAAACATACATATCAAATTAAGTGAATGGATCCGAGGGCTAGCCGTAAGCGTCCACTAGTATGAGTCATGATCTGCTATCAGTTACAAGAAATATGAATGTAAGCATATTGAAGTAAAAAATTACCTATACAAGTAATCATATGGTCTATATTATAGTGAGAAACATTATAAGTGTTAAAAGAATTGAGGTATATTGACTATAAAGTTAGGGCGGATGTTGATTGTATATAAGATGGTGGAGGATGATGATGACTCGTTATTTATTGTAGATAAAAGTAACAGTGAACGTGGTGATACACCAGATGGAGAGAAAAAAGAAACATCTGCTATAAGATCTCGACGATTACGACGGGAACGTAGATCAACTGGTATTGTTGATTATAATCCAGAGGTATGTACAGAAATAAACCATATTTGAATATTTTTATTTATGTGGCGGAAGTGAATAGGACAAAATATACTCATCATTAGCCGGACACGCGTGTGGGGGGTTTTGACACTGCGCCATCCCAGGGCCAAAAAAAGTCTATGGGGCCCATAAACATCAAAGTTCAAAATTGAAATGGGCAATTATGCATGAATTTATTGCACCTATGAAGCTTATATATAAGTATGTACAAATGTTTTTGCTTTATCGCAATCTGCTAGTGAATCATCTAGATATGACTGTACAGGTGACAATTATATGGCGTACAATTACTGCTAATTACTGGAGGGACATTTCAACTAGGCTTCTCTAGTCATTATCAAGCAATGATCATTTTGACCTGTGTACTCCAGTACAATTACTGAATGCCATTGAAACAATTTAGATATGACTAGTGTTGGAAAGGAGAAGGGGCGGGGACAAAAAAAGGTCTCGCCCAAGCACATTTTTTCCTCTCAAGGGCCCTAATCTTTAGTGTTTGATTAAAAAGACAGTGAGCATTAGGATTCATGCCTCCATGAGATAGACTGACAACTACTGTATTGAAATCACCCTTGGTATCCCATGTGGTCGCATTCTGTTCCTCTCCGCTATACCCTGGATTAATCCACAGAGTTTCCACCATTTCAAATTATCTGCCCTGGACTTGATGATTGTGCTATTTTTATTGACCAATCCTATAAATCGTTAATCGCAAAGAAAGTTACCAAAGGGAAGTAACTCTCACCATGTTGCAACAAGCCGCTATATTGTTATGAACGTAAACAAAGAGGCTAAAGTGTCTTAGTAAGACTGGTTTGTAAACTGTTTATTGATTGGTTCGTAGAATCAAGCTATGATCAAGGGCAGATAATTTGTATTAACCCAGGGTATAGTGGAGTAGAGCGGAATGAGACCACTGGGGAAACCGAGGATGTATTGAAATGTACCTGATATGGACATAACTCAGTAGACCAACTATTCATATATTTATATCAGCACAAGGTCTGTCATTGAGTCAAATGGTGTGGTTTTGATTTCCCGGTTGTACATGACAAGGAGTAGGGTCGCCAGTCCAACCTCGTGGGTTTTCTCCGGGTCCTCTGGTTTCCTCCCACTGCTATATAAAGACCCCAGCACAAGAGTGAATTATTTAAATAAAATTAAAAACCATATGTTAGTCCCAAATTGACCTAGTTTGTGTCGAGTGGATGTTAAACCGCATTTCTCTCTCTCTCCCTCTATTTATATCCTTTTTTGGGTTATTATTTAGAATGAAGAAGGTGAAAAAGAAAAAGAAAATAAACCAGATGAAGATAAAAAAGAGTCAGAGGTCAGTCAGTCAATTTATTCTATTATTGTCATTCATCTTTTAGAGAAATCAGGGAGATGGGAGGTTTGGGGCGGGACTTTTAAAATAGGTCTGTCCAGCTGTCCGTCTCTCACATCTTTTTGAAAAAGCAGGGATCTATTGAAATAGGTTCATCCGTTTATTTGTCAGTCAGATGGTTTTGGAACACAATAACTCTGATTGAGATAGACGGTTCAAATTGGTGTATTTATTCATTGGGTGAACTGAATGCCATGTTACGGTGATGACCAGTTTCTGCTTAGGCTAAGCAGAGCTAAGAAAATTGATTATTTGAGGCTTTTGAACACAATAACTCTTGCTTCTAATTGAGACAGAATGTTCAAACTTTTCTCTGTGTGAGGGAGGTTGGGTGGCCGAATGGTTTAAGGAAAAATATACGGTCTGTCATTGAGTCCAGTGACGTGGTTACGATTCCCCGCTTGTATGTGACAAGGAGTAGGGTCACGTGTTCAACCTCGTGGGATTTCTCTTGGTTCTTCGTGTAAAGATTTTGGATTTTTACTCAACTGCTACATCTTACCCAGGCTAACTGGACAATTTGATACTTATTTCGTGGACAAATGCGAACAGCCCAGGCTAAATGAGACTTCTCATTTCAGCTATTGCACAGAAAATGTACAAATTGTATTTTCACCAATTCTGGGATATATTTTATAGCATTTCTATTTCTATATTTCTATAAAAAGTATTCAGAGATATACAAAATTTGCTTGGGTTTTGTTGCTATGGAGATTTGCTGTATTTGTGTCCGTCTATGTGTATCAACTTCAGATCTAAATATCTCGGACATTTATTAAAATAATACCAAACCTCACAAACCAATTAGTGACGATTTGATTTCATCTCTTTTTCACCCTGTGCGTCATTTAGACAGAGCGGGAGCCACAGTGGCTAAGTGGGAAAGCCGCTGGCTCGCTAGCCTGGAGGTTGCATGTTCGATCTCTGCATTGGCCAAGAAAGTCCATCAGGATTTTCCGATGTGGTTCCCCCTTGTCAGTGGTGCAGGAAGGAGGGCCTGACAAGGACAACTGTCTAGTCGTTTGGATGGGACGGAAAAAAACCAAGGTCCTGTGTCTACATTGGCATGCACATAAAAGATCCCTTGGCAGTTGGAATTCAATGTAGGAGTAGGCCGTATTGCCGCTACCCAAGCAAAATTTCCCTCATAGCACATTGTATGGCTTATGCCTGTCTTCATTAGCCCAGTTAGAGCAGAACAGTAGGACGTTAAACCCCATTTCATTTCTACTCAGAGCAGATCACAACAATTATTATTTTGCTTCTTTGGTTTTGGTGTGGCCTCCGGTTTCCCCCAATGGGGTTAGATGGCCGCAGGGCTGCCGACAACCAGTATCGCAGCGCAATTTGCGATACATATTTTGTCCGTTGCTAATCAAAAATTAAAATCTAACGTTTTTGATTCGCAGTAACTGCGAATCATTAATATGCCTGTCATTTTGGATATTGACACAAAGATTTATCCACATTTCTCAACACTTTCAACGTGTATAAAATATCAAATAAATTTTATAAACAAAACGGAATTCTCCGTGTGACATTTTCTTCTCAAACTACCCAGACTCAATTCATGATACTATATAATACAGGGACATAACTCTATGAATCGAGACTATTAAACCGGAAATAGGGAATCAAGTAGTACCACTCACGTTGCGAGACATGTCAATTTCGAGTAATTATATCAGTATTCAATTTGAAAAAAAATAAATTCAGTGTATCCCCCACGTATTGTAAATAAAATATAAAAAATAAATACGTGTAAACGTATTGTAAAGTGAGAAATCAAAGTAAGAATTCCCGTAAACTATTATTGTTTATATCGCGTGCGTCTAGTTAATCGAGATTATTCCTAAAATACCGCGTGCTTCCGATTGAACAAAAATAATAACACACGATAAAAAGCAGACGAAATTGTTTTCTAACGAAGAAATAAGAAGCCACTGCCAAGAATTGGCTTCAGACATAAGGCCTAACAAAAGTCTACATTCATTCAGAAATGTTCACAGCTAGCTGTAGAAGTGCTAAAATTCTAAAAAAATCTTAAGAATGAAATCTAATCATTTGCTATCAATTAAAATTAAAATAATCTTGTTATTTAGGTGTTTTATGTTGATTTGAAACTGAAAAAGTGCTAATCAATTTTTAAATTTGCTAATCAACTTTGTCAAAATTGGACTTTTTGATTAGCAGTGCTGCTAATCATCTGTGAAAAATTACCGACAGCCCTGGATGGCCGAATGGTTAGCACATGCGCACTGTATCATAAAGTCTGTCATTGAGTCAACTGGCGTGGTTTCAATTCCCTGGTTGTACGTGACAAGGAGTAGGGTCCTCTGTTTTCCTCCCACTGCTAAAGACCCCTACGTGCAAGCGTATTATTGAAATGAAATTGAACCATATATTAGTCCTGAAATGACCTGGTTTGTGTTGAGTGGATATTAAACACCATTTCTCTCTCTCTCTTTTCCCCCAACTATTAATGGCCTCTATGTGCAAGCAAATTATTGAAATAAAATGTAACATGTTAGTCTCGAATGACCTAGTTTCTATCTATCTGTTTAATTTGCATATGTAAACACTAAGTGAGATTAGATTAAGTATTAATTCAATATTTACTGTCAGTAAATATCAAAAACTGTTTAATATTCTGATAGTTATCTGCCCCTTTGTGGGTTTAGTCCACTGTGTAAATATACTCTACTTCAACCTTACCTTAACCTAAATAAACTCCTCCATTACATGTACATATACACCCACCCTACACATACACACAAAACAACTAGGGTGATGATATGATAAAAGAAATAAGCACCTACTAAGATATCTGACCCTTACCTTCTTGTACCCCACTACTACCCCTACAAAAAGCAGCACCTCAAATATACACAAAACAATGTTAAATCACATGAATAGTTCCATTGACTTGTCTTAATGTCAGGTTTAACGACCACAGACAGGGTCATATCACAGACAAAGAATAGTTTCTAATATATAATGTCGTCTTCTTCCGGTCTTATCCTTTTTATATGCGCGCCTATTGAAATGTGGTCAATATATTGCCACCCAAGTCTGTTGGTCTGTTGTCAACGATGGCTTTTTAACGATCTATAGGCTAAAGTTGCTATCTGATAGACCTGATTTTCAACAATTTCTGATAATTACTGTCAGAGTTACACCCCTTTACCAATTAAAAATATCTTGTGAATGCTCATGAGGCTAAAAGTATTAATAGAGTTATGTTCCTAGAATTGAGAAGCCTGTTGATTTTCAACAATTTCTGATAATTACTGTCAGAGTTCCGGTCCTTGATATTTTATTTAAATATTTAACCCCAAGGCCTGGTGTTAAATAAATTGATATATGTTATTGTATGTAACTCTAGGATATGGTTTTTGATAAGTTAGCAGTTCTGCGTAACTCATTGAGAAGATATGTAAGTCATTTGCATATGAAAATCAAATATCTTCAAAATATCAATATATATTTTTATATATAATCAAATTTTCCTTTTCTCCAATTTCAAATCTTTTCCTGTTCCTGTTTAAAACCCCATTGCACAATTCTCATTCAAGCCTTTTTATAAAACAAAAACTGTCCAACAAAATACGAATTTACATTGACAACAATAGACTACTTCAATCTCGACAATTTTTCAAACCTTTAACGCAAGCCTGGAAATAACGTACAGTAAACTTCGCAGAGACATTGTGTTAGAGAAATTCAGGCACTGTCAGACACAACTCCCACTGGGGCCTGTTATTCTGTATGGCACAGATCAATGTTGTTGTTGATATTTTTTTATACGTCTGTGGCGTGAATTTAATAATATCGGGGATTAGTTTAGTAGAATCTGACATTTGAATGATTAACGTGTGCACATGGGATCATAATGGCTGTGACTGGGTCAAGTGTCGTGGTTGCGATTCCACGACAATGAGTTTTGTTGTCTGTCCAACCTCATTGGTTTTCTCCGGGTCATCCAGTTTCCTCCCATTGCTAAAGATCCCTACGCAGAAGCAAATATTGAAATGAATTTAACCATATGTTAGTCCCAAAATGACCTAGTTTACGCCGAGTGGACATTAAACCCCATTTCTTTCTCTCTCCCATTTTTTTTTTTTTTTTTTCTTGAATGGAAGCAAAATATTTAAGTTGGTTGGTTATATCATTATAATATGAATCTGATTTTAAATTCAAATCATCATATATTTAAATATTAATATATCTTCACATATAATTATAGAATAGTAAATTCAAATCATGTTATATTTAAATACCATATCTTCACTGATCAATATAGAATAGTAAATCATTAATATTATTTATTTTAAATTTTGCTTATTTCTCTAATAAAACTTAGATTCTTATATGAAAAAATTTAATTAAATATTTTGTCAGTGATTCTATTAAAAGAAATTCATTTATTTTCTAGCATCTTCTTACTTATATATAAAGACATGCTGTCTTGATCATTCCAGCCTATAGTCCTGATCATTCCAGCCTATAGTCCTGATCATTCCTAATTTGATTATAACACAGATCCTATTTTATTTCGTTTCAATTTACTTGTCTTTACTACACTAGGATCTGGAATTGTCTTTATATTACCAGCATTCTGGTTGAAGTGAGGAATTGGCCAATGAAACGGTCTCTTAGTGGTAAACTACTAGAAACATCAACGCTGATTGATTAGTCAATATCTGACGTCGTAGGGTCAAAGGCCGCTCATTTAACACCTGACGCGACCTTTCACTACAACCGGTCAGATCTTCATGTAGTGTTGGCCATCAAAAGTATAAAAAAAACGAAACGAAATATAAATCTGTATATTAATCAATCAGATTGGATCATTCAAGTCTACATAGTCTTGATTATTCTAGTCTATATAGTCTTGATTATTCCAGTCTATATATATATAGTCTTGATTATTCCAGTCTATAATGCCTTGATCATTCTATATATAGAATGAAAACACTGCTTCCCATCTATCTCTATATATTATATACACGTATGTTTTTGTATGAAATCGTCACGCTTTTTTTCATTAATCATCACCTCGGTAAGTAAAGTGCTGGCTCATAACGTCTCAGGATTTTCTGATGCGGTTTCCCCTTGTCAGTGGTGCAAGACAGGACTCCTGGAAAGAAAAGTGTCTATTCATTTGGATGGGATGAAAAACCAAAGTCCTGTGTACACATTGGCGTGCATGTAAGAGATACTTTGACAGTTGGAATTCAGGCAATTTTCCCCTCATTAGCCCTGTCAGAACAGAAAAGTAGGATATTAAACCCCATTTCATTTCCATATGTTAGTCTGGGGGATCACGTGGGTAAGACGCTGGCTCGCTAGCCTGGAGGTCGTGTGTTCGATCACTGCATTGGCCGAGAAAGTTCATCCAAATTTTCCGGCGGGGTTCCCCCTTGTCAGTGATGCAGGACTGAGGGTCTGACAAGGACTATGGTCAGGTCGTTCGGATGGGACGAAAAACCGAGGCCCCGTGTACATATTGGTGTGCACGTAAAAGATCCCTTGGCAGTTGGAATTCGATAGAAGAGTAAGCTGTAGTGCCGCTGACTGGGCAAAATTTCCCTCATAGCACACTATATGGCGGATGCCCGTCTTCATTAGTCCAGTTTAGGAGCAGAACAGTAGGACGTTTAACCCCATTTCATTTCATTTCTCAAAAGGACTTAAGTATTATGTTAACTAAAGACATTAAATTCCATTCCATTCTGTTTCAATACTATCTATATAATTTCTATAAGTTGTTTATAATATTGAATAAGTATGTAATAAATATATTATGTATGTATTTATTGGTATAGTATATGTTATAGTGTATATATATGTAAGTTATATTATGAAAGGTTATCGGCTATTAAATATACTCATGTACATTAATGGCCTTTCAAATATTTACCAGTAATTTTTATTGGCCCTCTTCACTTATAACATACAAGGCCACACCAGTTTGGAGTTTTGTTCTTTGTAAAGAAAGGTGTTTGTTCTTTGTAAAGAGTAGTGGTTATTCTAAGGTTTGTCAGTTCAAATCGGAGAGAGGGATAAATGGGGTTTAATGTTGGACAGGTGACCCTACTCCTTTTCATGTACAACTGGGGAATTGAAACCATGCTACGTCACTCAATGACAGTCTGGATGATACAATGTGTACACGCTAACCATTCAGCCATCCAACCCCCCATTAGTTCAATTCAAGGAGTAGGGTCACCAGCCCAACCTCGTGGGTTTTCTTCAGGAATCCCAGTTTCCTCCCACTGATAAAACCCTTATGTGCACACAAATTGTTGAAATAAAATGTAGCGTATTTTAGTCCCAAAATGACATTGGAGCTCATTTCTCTCTGCAGCCTACTTTTCTAAACCTTTCACAAACCTGGCTAATGAATGTCTTATGAAGTGAAAATTAATTTAGAAATTATGTAATGTCTCTTGAAGCTTAAAGATGGGTTCCCAGAAAAGTATTTATCAGGTGGTTATTTCCAATAAAAGTATGGCAATTTTAGTATATATCGAAAGTAGAAATATCCAATCTTACTAAAAAAATACTGGATTCCCCTAATCGACAGCCCAACGATTAGGAATACCTGCACGCGTGACGTCAAATGTTGCACGTGAAGATTGAGCCCTTGGTGTACATGTTGAGAAACTTTATGAAGAGTTTGACGTACAACACTTTCTGAGATACAAATCACGGAAAAAGACGCAGGCAGTGGATAATTCAAAAATTTAATTAGGATTCGATATTTGTAATAAATAGTCAGCGATTAAAGACAACATCGTCTTGTGTATACAATGAATTCTCCTCTGACTTGCACCTGTAAGTCACGTGACACAAACATGACCTCTTTTGGTCTATTTTTTATAGCAAGGGTATTCCTTGACAATTACAATGTTTTGAGAAGGATTTGAAGCAAATTTATGATAAATTAATTACTTTGAATATGTTTTAGGCCAAATATATCATCATATCACCCAGTTTGTACGCGGGAATGTATCTTTAATTGCCATTCAATTGAGACTTCTGGCATTTTTCGCCGAACATAACTTATTTGAAATTAGAGTAAAAACGGAAACAATTGAGTGGGGGTTAAAAGGGGTGGGTAATATAGTGAAAGTAATGTCTCTTGCAAGGGGGTTATAAGGGGTGGGGGTTATAAGGGGTGAGTAATGTCTCTTGAAGTTTATATGTTTAATACAGTGTTATTAAGCAGGGGTTATAAAGGTGTGGTTAATGAGGTGTAACAATGTACAAGTTTATAATAACCATGTAATATTATATACTATTATATATAGTATATATACACCGTGTGAACTAGGTAGGTATTATTCAATATAAACATACTTTATTATGGCTGGTTGATCTATATTGTATCAAATTAATATTCTAACTAAATTGGCTTAAAGAAGAGAATTTGACCGGGGCAATATATTGAATAAACTCATGACTGATGTTAACTTCCCTATTTTGACAGGGGCAATATATTTTTTTAATAAACTCTGAAAAAAAAAAATGGATTTGATGTCAACTTCCCTGTTTTGAATAAACTAGGAAAAACTTTAAATAGGATTAAAGAAAGGAATTTGATCAAGTCGATCTTAATTTTAATATATTAAATAAACTCTGAAAAACATTGATTTGGTTGATGTTGACTTACCTGTTTTCAATAAACTAGGAAAATTTTAAATTAAAATGACTATAGATCTCTTTAATCGGGCTCAAAAAGAATGATGTATCAGTTTTTTTTAAAAATATCATTGTCGTTGGATTTTAGATATTGTTACATGACAATCTTATGGTATTACAAATTGTACGTCCATTAGCCTGTGTTAATAGTGCATGTAAGTGCAGGGGGACAGACCCTTCATCTTGTACCACTGACAAGGGAAAATCCTGATGACCTCTCCCTGCCAATGCAGGGATTGAACATGCGACCTCCAGGATAGCGAACCAGCGCCTTGCCCGCTTAGCCACCGTGGCTCCTAAAATTCAAAAGACAATTAGGATTAGCGAAGTGGTTTAAAATATGACTGGTGAATGTTGAAATATGACTGGTGAATGTTAAAATATGACAGGTGAATGTTAAAATATGACTGGTAAATGTTAAAATATGACTGGTAAATTTTAAAATATGACTGGTGAATGTTAAAATATGACTGGTAAATGTTAAAATATGACTGGTAAATTTTAAAATATGACTGGTGAATGTTAAAATATGACTGGTAAATGTTAAAATATGACTGGTGAATTTTAAATTATGACTGGTGAATTATTATATGACTGGTAAATGTTAAAATATGACTGTAGGAGGAAATAGTTGTAATAATTCAAATGTAAAATAGCTTGTAATTTGGTGTAAATTATTTCGTTCAGGTACACTAGCTTCATTACCTCAATTGGTGCAGAAAAATACAA